ACACATTATAAACAATGGCATATCAAATATACTAACAGACGAGATAGTTTCTATAGTAGTTATTATATGAAATCTACGAGGACTACAACTGCATTTACATGTCATATGTCAGACATGCATCTTTTACTTTCAGGGGATATTGAATTAAACCCAGGTCCTAGAACAATGATACTAATTCTTTACTACACTACAGATTACTTAGACATGGATTAAAACCACTAGATGTTGGTGGTGGAGGTGATTGCTAGTTTAAGTCCGTATCACATCAGTTATATGGTAATGCAAGTGAACATTTAGCAATAAGAGGTGCAGGTATTCAGTATTTAAGAGAGAATCCTGAACGATTTATAGAAGTAATTTAGAAACATCGTGGTTAGAATATTTAAAGAATATGACCATGCAAGGAACATAGGCTGATAATATCAAAAGCTTTTCAAAAGCTAATGCAAGCTCCTAGAGGAAGACAGCTTAAAATACATGGTAATATTGTTAATGTGCCCACTAAAGTAACTCATACAGCGAGTATGCTGCCACGGTTACCAAGTGAGACTGGTACAATCAAAGTCAATTTAAAGAGAAAATTGCAATATAAGAGTTCTGCATTGTCATTAAATGTCAGACCTCATAAAGTGGTGGAAGCTGCAGATTGGCTGATGACTAATAGCAGTCTTTATGAAGATGAAGGGATTAGTTTTAATCCACAGTGGGTTAATCAATACAATGAAGTTGTACTGCATGAAAACGTTGACAATGATGTGTGTGATGACAACAGTGATACTGTTGAAAGTGATGAGCGTGATCAGCAATCAACAAGAATTGTTGGAAACAGCACTAATGTTGATTTCCAAACAATAGACCATAAAGATGAATGGAGTGAAGATGAGGCAGAAACACCTGCAGGTGTTACTGATACTATGTTAACGTCAACAGACTTTTTAGAAGATAATGAATGTCAAAATATTCTTAATGTTGCACCAGCAGAAGGTAATAGAACCTTGAGTATATTCAGGGATAAATACTCTGAAGAATTAGCATATCCTGGCATATTCCTTAGTCAGCAACGACCAGAGAGTAAGGCACAGACAACTAAGTTCTTTATAGTGATATTTGTATTTACTTGCTGTAAGTTTGTCACTGAATGCTGCTACTGTATTTTTCAAAAGAAATCCTAAAAGCACTATCATGAGCTAATAACGCTCTTTACACCATGGCAAAATGAAGAAACTGACTTACTTGGTATATTTTCTTCATATAAAGATCATTGTATGGCGCTGTCTAGTGCAATTTATGAACAATTGAAAGAATATGCCATGTGTAATGAAGACTTCGATGAAATACAACAAGATATGAATATATTAAAAGAAAGCTATGATTCTATAGCACCTTCAACTCAAAACATTGAGCCGCAAGACCTGGCTGAAGGTAATCAGGACTTACATCCTGACTTTAAAGAGAACTATAATCTATCTGACGATATAGGAATACCATCAGCTGATTCAAACACTGAGCCATTAATACTAAATGAATTACCGGATGATGAGTACAGACATATGGTAGAGATGTTAAATAAAGAACAAAAAGAATTCTTCTATCATGTTTTGCATCTAATAGACATCTGATGAACCATTTTACTGTTTCCTTAGTGGAGGTGCAGAAGTTGGTAAATCAAACCTAACTAAAGCCTTGTATCAGGCAGCACTGAAATACTATAACACTAGAACTGGTGGTAACTTTGCTGATATTAAAGTATTAATGCTAGCCTCGACTGGTAAAGCAGCCTATGTTA